CGTACGTAGTACGTAGTATATATAGTACGTACTACGTAAGTTAAAGTAAGTATATCTCTATATATTACTACTACTATATATATATATATATATATATATATATATATATATATATATATAAACCCTTTTTCCATAAACCTTGCCTCCAACAAACCATCATTGCCCCAGTTGGACCAAACGCGTCAAGAGGCAAGACAGACTTAGAGTGATCTGACTTCGGAACCTTCCCAAAGGGAAGGCTCCGATGTTGCCCCAATAGCCACCAAAACCCTCCCAAAAGTCCAATGGCGAAGCACCGAAGGCACTTAAGTCACTGAACATGCAGCCCATAAGACCAGAAGCCTGACGCCATTCCCCTTGACACCCAACTTCGGACCTCCCTTTAAGTTATAAATGACTAGAAGTCTAGCAGCAGTGCCAATGCTGTCAGCTCCATTTCAACTAGCGGCCTCAAGACCTCCACCAGGTGGGAAACAACCTGATCAACATGATTGAGATGACACATTGACAAATCAGCCTGTACGCGCTGACATGGCAGACCCGTATTGACACGTTAGACGTTAGTACGGCCTATGGTTGTCTAATTTATATTGGACGAAGGTACAACCATAACGGCGTACTAGTTAGTATCTTGCGACACTCCAAATGCCGCCAACGCTAGTGGGAATAGCTTCAAGCAGTGATTGGTCCATCAAATCCAGACCAAAGTTACCAGAGTCGCACTACCAATGGGTGACCCATTGCATAGCGCGACTCAATTGATGGATGCTATGAGCATTCTTTGGCGTGCTTTGGGCGTATCGCATGACCAAACATTGATGTTATGGGGCGTGCCTGCTTTGAGAGTATTGCAGGGCCTACCTGTATGATTGATGTCAGTGAGGTGCATACTTTGTGTGTATTGTATGACCAAGATGGATATGAGTAGGTGCCTACTTTGAGAGTATTGCAGGGTCTGCCTGTGTGATTGATTCTAGTGAGGGGTATGCTTTGGGCGTATTGCATGACCTGACCATCTGTTTATTGTGAAATGAAAATGTGCTCTATGATAAAGCAAGAGTATATTATGTTAAGACAATAACATATACTGTGAACCGTGTTCGGTTATAGATGATTGAATGATAATGGGAAGTGCATTATTGTTAAGTATCATGATGGTGTTCATTAAGGAAAGGTTTTCTAGACAGTTACTCCTTATGATATATGTTATTTGCATTGTGAATGTGAAGGATAATTATTGTATTGATCGAATGAGAATTCTACTACCTGAAATGATGCATGCGATTGATACACTAATGAGATTCATGATTTATCTGATATTTATATTGTGATAGACTTATTAATGATGCTTTGTACCTAGATCTACTTACTAGGTTTTATAGCTCATTCCACTATTTCTTTCCTCATTGTAGATTGATAGCGGCAGGTTCAGGGGCTTGGAGTCAGTGTTTTGCGGCTAGGAGAAGCCAGATTCTTGGAGAAGGTGCTTAGATCTTGTTTGTTTTTGGGCAGTTTAGCCCGGAGTTTTTATTCATTGTGGATATGTGTAATTTTGGGCCCAGATGTCCCAACTGAAGTGTAATATTTTGGAAAAAATTTTATATAGTGGATTTTTTGTGTATAGGATTCTCTATGTTCTTCTGCCTGTTGAATGATTGTTTTAGTTCTTTTCCATGGTTTGCTCTATTTACCACATTATTAAAGCGTTGAGTTCACTCCGACCTAAGTGACGTACGCATCGAGATCACGGAACCGCCCGATCATCCTTTGTCGAGTACGAAATGGGGGTCGGGGGCGGGGTCGTGAGAACAGAATGTGACACATGTCTGAAACAAGATTTCAAGGTAGTCGGAATGGCGCCGATGCCATTGTCAATGGCGTCAAACACTGACATGGTTGTATCAGCCACATTAATGAATAGTTAATGTTTATTGACTGTCATTTTAACTGCATTAATGACATGGCATCATTCCCATTACCACCAGCACCAATCCATATGTCGCCAGAACTTTGATGGTCCGAAAATTGCACAAAACCGACCTACATGCTGTCATGGGTCCATTTTGCATATAAATAGCCCTTTTTACTTCATTCTAAAGGTCTGAACTTTCAAGGATTTTGAGCCTAGATTATGCTCAAATCCCTTTTTGTCTTAATCCTAAGTTTGAATTTGAGAGAAAAGCCCCAAGATGAACCCACTTAAGCAATCTCCCTTTCATCCAAACCCTTCAATCCAAAACTAAAATATCAACTCCACAAAGCTACACTATCAATCGCAGGCGGTCCGGATAATCAGACATTCTGGGCCCTCTTCCTCCTAATTCGACTTGCCCCATTAAGAATCTAAAAACTTGGGATTAGCTGTGCAACCATCCGATCTAAATCGGTACCGGGCCTGGGGGCTTGGCCTAAAGCATCATTTTCTTTTCTCTTCGTTTGTTTCTTGTATTTAGTCTTCTTTTAGATTTTTTTATACATTCTTCCTTATTTTTCTCTATTTATGAGTTATTTACCTTTTCTTGTCCTCCATTTAATGTAGTATTTATTACTCATAGATTAGCTATATTTAATC